GGTCTGGGCGGGCCTGGCCTGGTCTGCTTGCGGCGTCTCCGGCGGGTCGGGGGCGTGACTCGTGCGGGGGGTGGTGGCGACGGCGGCTCGCGTTCTGCAGCGCGGCGACGGGGGCTTCGCGAGCCCGTTTCGGGCTCGGCTGGGCCAGGGGTGGCCCGGTTTGCCCCTGTGCTGCGTCCGGCCGGATCCCGCCGGGGGCGGTGGAGGATGTCCCCTCCCGCGAGGCTGCTGATGTTGCCGCTCCTGGTTCCCGGTTGCGTCGTCTTGTTTCCGTCGGTCCCGTTTCGTTTGCCTTGGTGAGACGGCGATGGAGACTGCTCGACCGTGGTGGCGCAAGTTGGTGGGCGGTGTGTTTGGTGGCGCGGGATGGATCGTCTGGGGTCGTGGTTGGTTGGTGGGCGGGAGAAATCCTTGTCGGCCGGGTAGTACAGCTACAGCACGCCATCCCCTTCCGCTGTAGCTGTACTACCTGACAGAGACATTCCAGAGTTCTACGCCCACTACGGTGATAAATAAATAAATACAAGGGCCTGACAGCGAAAGACCACAATAAGCACTCACTTCTCCACCTCCAGTCAACCCAGCACAATACTTGTTGATTAGCTGATTCGGTCTCCGCAACGGAGCCCCTCCATCTCCATGGACGCAGCACAAGAGACGAGACTGCTGCTCCAAGAGGATGGGGATCAGGTAAAATTTACTGCTTTCTTCTTTTCTGAAATTCCATTGCAGAGAGTGTATAAAGTTCATCCTAGGTAGTTGTAGGCTTGTAGCCTGTAGAATTTAACTTTTCTCCTATGTATCTGGTCGTCCCCTTCTTTTTTCATGAGACAAGAGTGAGCTGATAAAATCCTTCGTCCTCTTGGGTCCAAACTGAAACTGGAGGCAGCAAGATGGGGATCGGATGCCATCTCCTGAGCTCTGCTGCAGTGATATTGAAAATTTGACCGACGCACACCACTTTCTCTAATGCATAGTAGTAATATTTTAAACCTTAGTAGGAGTTCAGGTTTCTCACAGGAATTGAGTACGAAATTTCTATATAATCCCTTCTACCCGTCCATGTTAGGAAAATTAAGGTTGCAGCTTGGTACCCCTTTTTCAGTATGTCTCTAGGTGGTTAAGACTGGATCTGAGTGCTGCTATTTCTTAATTAGCAGGATGCAAGTCTTTACACAGGTGATGGGTCCGTTGACATCAAAGGCTGTCCCGCAACAAGGCACGACACAGGCAATTGGCGAGCATGCGTCTTCATCCTAGGTAATATATATACAGGGCCGTTTGATCCAATTCGGCTAGCACTGACCATAGTTGCAGTTTTACAAAGTTTTGTAGAATAATCAAATTGAGTGCCAAATTGCTTCATTATGTCGGCCTTTTACATGGTTTGCTAAAATCCGTGTTGAATGACGCCTCCCACAAATTTTGGCAAAGTGTTTGTTCACTGAAGAAACTCCTTACTTTCTCATAACAAATCGTTATTGTACCAGCAGGCCATTTCCTTAGTAAGCATATCCCCAGTACATGTTTTTTTTTCTGGACGATTAAACATTTGAACTATTTGGTGCTGCCTGTAAGTTAGTATAATAGTACGCCGGCTTCTTGAAATTTGAATTATAGAAATTATAAGATCCTTTATTTAGAGATATATGGTACGAATCTGTATTAGCTTGCCTAGCACACTATTGGCCATGTGGTACAAAGCATTTGGGGACCCTTGTGCATATTTTGTATATGCAGCAATGAGCTTTGGCAAGTTCCAATGATGCTAGTCTGGTGACAGGAAATGAGTGTTGTGAGCGTCTGGCCTACTATGGAATTGCAAAAAACCTAGTCACTTATCTCAAAATAAAGCTTCATCAAGGCAATCTTGAAGCTGCAAGAAATGTTACCACTTGGCAAGGGACATGCTATCTGTCTCCCCTCATTGGAGCCATCCTAGCAGATTCTTATTGGGGAAAGTACTGGACTATTGCTGTTTTCTCATCAATTTATTTCATCGTAAGTACAAGATAAAGTTGACCAACTTTTGTCTACCTCCTTTGCTCTATAAGGCTCCATACTGGCATAGAAAACAATGTTGCACATTCAACTTGGTAATTTCTGGGCATTTTAACATTTGAAGCCAAAATATTTTTACTTTTCAGTAAATATAATGAACATGCAGGTCTTGTTATATAAATTTGATTTTAGTGAACCATCAATCCGTGCATCTCAATATCTTCAATCACCCATATTAATCATGTATTCCTTTTCCCCTGAAGGGCCTGGCTGTTTTAACGCTTTCAGCATCACTTCCAGCACTTCAACCACCTTCATGTTTAGGAAATGTTTGTCCAGAACCAAGCTTACTTCAGAATGGCACGTTTTTCCTAGGTCTTTATATGATTGCCCTAGGGACTGGAGGTATTAAACCATGTGTGTCATCCTTTGGGGCTGATCAATTTGATGACAGTGACCCGACAGAGAGAGTAAAGCAGGGTTCCTTCTTCAACTGGTTCTATTTCTGCATAAATATTGGTGCATTCATATCAGGCACTGTTATTGTTTGGATACAAGATAACTCGGGTTGGGGAATAGGATTTGCCATTCCTACTATATTTATGGCATTGGCTATTGCAAGCTTCTTTTCAGCTTCAGATGTGTATAGATTTCAGAAACCTGGTGGCAGTCCACTCACAAGAGTGTGTCAGGTCGTTGTCTCAGCATTCCGTAAGTGGCATGTTGAATTGCCACGTGACACTGCTCTTTTATATGAAGTTGATGGCCAAAATTCAGCAATAGAGGGAAGCAGGAAGCTGGAGCACACAACCGAACTTGAGTAATCATCTTCCTTAGGCTGCATCATTGCCTTACTTTTATGCCAATGTATTAATGCAACAACAAAAGGTACTTGCGGTATTAATGAAGGCACTGAATTGCGACACAACCTTCAGTAAGACTTATTTTCGAAAAGGTCCTTCAGTAAGGTTTCAGTTTGATGCTTGTGCAAACTAAATATATGCAATAAAATAGTATGAGTAGAGCCAAGCAATCATGACAGTAGTTCCCGCGTGGGTACTAGGTACATAATACAATAGAGGCAGAATTATTACTGCAGGTATCAATAATGTGTGCAACACATGTTCATAAGTCCTTCCCGGATATTTTATTTACAAGTATAGAAATGTTAACGTTATATAACTAAGATTTCAGGATAGGGCTGGACTGTCACTTTTTATTTATCCAGTGTATTGTTTCTGTAGGCAACTCTTACCTTTGTTGTATAATGACTGTTATAACATTTCATCAATCTGTCTTGTATAGATTCCTTGACAAGGCTGCCATCATCTCATCTACTGATGCCAAGAGTGACCTCATTACAAACCCATGGAGGCTATGCACAGTCACCCAGGTGGAAGAACTGAAGATCCTAGTAAGAATGTTCCCGGTTTGGGCGACTACTATCATATTCAACGCGGTGTATGCTCAGAACTCCTCCATGTTCTTAGAGCAGGGAATGGTTCTTGACAAGCGGGTCGGGTCTTTCAATGTTCCTCCTGCGCCCCTCTCGAGTTTTGACGTAATCAGTGTCATGATCTGGGTTCCACTTTATGACCGTGTTCTCATACCTATAGCCAGAAAGTTCACTGGAAGGGAAAAGGGTTTCTCGGAACTACAACGGATTGGCATTGGATTGGTGCTGTCCATTATTGCAATGGTGTCTGCAGCTTTTGTTGAGTTGAAGCGCTTGGAGATTGCCACGTCTGAAGGTCTTATCCATGAGAAGTCTGTGGTTCCGATGAGCATTCTTTGGCAAATACCACAGTATTTCCTTGTTGGCGCTGCCGAGGTTTTCACTAATATAGGTCTACTTGAGTTTTCGTACGATCAGGCACCAGATGCCATGAGGAGTTTATGTGCTGCATTTGCACTCATTACGGTCTCAGCGGGGAGCTATTTAAGCTCGTTCATATTGACCTTGGTGTCGTACATTACAACTCAGGGGGGAGATCCTGGATGGATCCCGGATAACCTGAATGAAGGCCATCTTGACCGGTTCTTTTGGTTGATTGCAGGGATCAGCTTTGTGAATTTGCTGGTTTACATCAGTTGTGCGATGAAATACAAATATAAGAATGTGTGATGGTTTCTCCAAAAAAATGTGTGATGGTCATACCTGCTGTGGAACAAGTTCTTGTAATTTCAGATTCCATATTCATGGGAGCAGTTCATTGTGTAGACTAAGACATCACATGAGCTGCCCTTCTCAGAAAGTCCTCAAAATTCTTCTAGTGATGTATTTTAGACAAATTATTACTTTGGTGAGTGTGTTTTGTATGAAATTTGTAACACCAGAGCTATACAAAGACAATTTTGTACATGCATATTTAATACTTTCCTGTTCAAAAGCATCCTGTTATTCCATAAGGCGATCGTAAAGATTTGTTTACTGAAAATTACGCGTTGCACATGCATGTAAGCTGCAACTGAGAAATTGAGAAGCTCCAGAACCAAACATCAAAGCTATATACTCCCTCCGTTCACTTGTAAGATGTTTTTCGATATTTTAATATGAACTACATACATACGGACTGAAATGAGTGAACAAGCACACTAAAATGCGTCTATATACATCCGATTCAAAAACAAGTAATAACATCTTATTATCAGTGGCGGACCCAGGAAAAAAATGAAGGGTGTGCACACTCTAAAAAAATTCCCACCTACTCAATGTGTCAGACAAAATATGGCAAAATAATACATGAGTATCTTAATGCAAATCTCACAACAATTTAGTCCACAAAATATATCTCAAATGTGCTCAATTACAATACAAGTAGTCTTACATTAAAGAAGCACAAGTAGAAAATTACATCACTAGGTAACTCTACGTTTTTGCATTGCCATGAAAGCATCAACTATGTCATCTTCGCTTACTTCCATGAACACATCCCGTTTAATAAATGTCACCAAGCAATCATTCAAGCGATCATCACTCATAGTAGTCTTCAACTTATTTTTCACTAGATTCATTGCTGAAAAACACTCTTTCAACACTCGCCGTCACCACCGGTAAAATCAATATCAATTTGATGAGTAAGTAGACCAAATCATAAAGAACATGCTTCTTTAATACCGACGTGCTTGAAATGTCCATGGGATCGAATTCAACAAGTCTCATTACCTTGAGTGCATCATAAGAAGCAAATGAATTGAGGGGATTCAAAGCTGACATGCAAATAAGCAACTCCGTATTAACCTCATCAAACCGATTGTCAAGCTCTTGAATGGTTTGATCAATGACACCAAGATATACTTCTCTTCTGTAACGATCATCATTTGTTTGTACTTCATAATACCGACGTGATCTTCGATTAGGCTCATAAATATCCTCCCACAAAGGAACTTGAATGTCATGTTTGTTGCAAAATAAGGTTAGCTTT